TTCCGACAATATAGGATGTATGAAAGGATGTTTAGAAATGCAGCTGCCAGGAAAAAGACAACCAAGAAACATATGGATGCAGTTGGAGTGAGGACAGAGGATGCAGAGGACAGAATGAGATGGAGGAGGACGACTCACTGTGGGGAGCCCTGAAGAGGGAAAGGCCTTAAGAAGATTGTGCTTTGAGTACAAAGAAAATGTTCCTTCTTACAGTAAATTTTGAAGAGATTTTCCTCGTTTGCCAAAATATTAACTTTAAAGGTTTTGCAACTACACCAACAAAATCTAAGCTCAGTATGTGGACGCAAGGCGTGCAAGATAAAACGCAGTTTGTATTTTAACTGGATATCAGCCAATCATATAAATACAGGCATGAATAATTTCTATCCTCCATGGCTTGTTATGAACTTACTTTGATCCAGACTATTCTTTCAGATAGTTTTGTGCCATGACTGCCTATTGTTCCTTTTTATTATTCATGACGAAGTTGCAGAAATCCTCTAAACACAGATGTGGGTACACCGGGCTGTTTGATCTGCTGTTTGCAGGTTCAGTCTAGTGGAAAATATTTATAAGTCTTAGGGAGGGTGCAGTTGCATGTGACTTGTAGCAAGTCTATTTTTAGTCTCCAGATTCTTTTGATTTCATGCCTGCGTTTGACTGACAGCAATAATTTGACATAACCTGGCTGTTTGCTAAAGTTGTCTTTTAGCTGTCAGTCAGCATGACTTTGTCATGTCGTCTATGGTTTCTCATAAATGTTTGTTTGTCTCCACCGTCCGCAGCAGCAGAAAAAGAAAACATTTTAGATTTGGCTAAAACCACTTTCTTCAAACCTAAAAAGTAAAAAAAAAAAAATTGTGAAGTCGACATATCATTTTTAACTTTAGTGCATTTTCTCAGCATTTATGTGGTCTGTTCACAAAAGTAGTTCCTGATATTTAAAATCAAAATGAAAAATGTGGCTATTAAACATCAAATGCACTTTACCTACATAGTTTAAATATCAATGCCAATTATTATTTTCTTGGTCTTGAAAAGCACATTACATTAATAATACCGTATACGTATAGTTGTATTTTTTTTTTACTATTTTACCATATCTGAAAGATTCATTTTTTCTGAACTATATTTATGACAACTATACCTTTTTTAAAAAAAACAAGGAATCTTATTTTGCTTTGACAAAAATAAAAGTGCGAGTATGTATGAATGTCATTTTCTTAAATATTACACTGAAACTCTCCTGCTCAAAGAATTCAGTCATTCATTTCATTAACCTTTATTTGTGGGGAGTGACGGTGCAGAGTGTTTAGAAGGGGGGCATGTGATTGGAAGGTCGCCAGTTCAACTCTCCGTCCGTACCGACATCAAAATATGGGTGGGAAAGATGAAATACCCACACCTGCCTCCACCCTTATTTGCCCCCCTTTGTGCCCTCGAGCAATGCCACCCCCACCATCTGCTCCCCTGGCACCCTAGATGGCAGCTTTCTGCTCCACACAGAGGGCTGTGGTAGCTCGGTGGTCTGTGGTTGTGGCAGGAAGGGCATCCGGTGTAAAAACAACTGCCAAGTCTTCGTGCAAGTTTCTTCGCTGTGGCGACCCCTGAAGAAGGGAGCAGCCGAAAGAAGATGATGCAACATCCAACATGCAAACCCCACACAGAAGAGCCCAGGTCCAAACCAAGGAATAAACACTTCTTGCTGTGAGGCAACAGTGTTAACCTCTAATCCATTGTGTTGCCATTTTTGCTTGAAGTTACTTCCGCCTCATGACTGCCTTCCAAACTAATTGTAAAACTTGTTACAGGGAATGAAGATTCTCTTATGCTCTGCATGACCCAAATACGGAGAACATGACTGCATAACAGCAAATTTGGAAAATCTATTTCAGTGCCATCATGGTTATAGTTTCCATGTCGCTTATGCTTACTCTTGTCAAAAATCATGGTTATAGCCTTGACATAAGTCCAGCATTACCATTCCTGTTTAAATTTTGGATGATCCAAGTCATGCTGGTTTGCTGGGATCCCATGTCATGGTTTCATTGCCACCACTTTACAGACCTTGATGCTGCCATCATACTGATAAATCGCCATAACCTCACAATAGTGTTGTACACATTCAAAGCCACTGTGGATCTTCTAAGACTAATGTGAATCTCAGTTTATTCTTAACAGATGCCACAAGGCCTTAATGTCCTGCAAAGACCATCCACGTCTAGTTATTTTGATATATGATTGTCATCCAATGTGAAGAGATCCTGTGGAAACAACTGATAATACCAGAATTTAAACTGAGATTTGAGCACTAAAATAATTTTGATACACATTAAACTTTTTCCCCCTCCAATAAAATCCTTAATTTTGGCTTATTTAACTTTAATATTAACTCTTATAAACGATGTGCTGTACACAACGCGGCAGTATTTTTCCTTAATGAAAATTAAAGCTGGTACAGCACTTTAAGGCTAATGCATTTTGTTAATTTGCATATCATTACAATTATTTGGTCTCTAAAGCAATTTATAGTTCATTTTAAAGCAGTTTAAGCCATAAACTATGGGATTTGTTGGTACTTTAAAAATTAACTTATTTATTGAAAAAGTAATGTTAAATTGTTGAATCCCTTGCAGAATGACTTTAACATGGTGTCATCTTTTTTTATTTCTTTGTGTGCATTGGACGTTTAAGTTCATAAATGGGTCAAATGGAAAAAATGGAGAATAAAAGGTGATTCATTCTTAAAATCCACACTCCTTTTAGTAATAGCTGCACAAAACACACCAAACCCCTTCACTGCAGCACATTTAGGATTTTAATATACAGTTTTCAAGATAAAATTCTTTGATAAACAAAGAAACAATTTTTGGCTATATAAAAAGCTATTTAGAAATCAGTGACTAGACTTGGAGACGAGTGGTGGTGTGCTTACATTTTTAGGTATCAAATACAGACACATTGAGCTCAGAGTGAAGAGGGATAATCATAAAGTTCGGAAGAAACATCTCACTGATTAACAAGATTCACTTCATCACCACATTACTACACACTGAGCCATTCATGAGCTATACTTCCAGAAATATGCAGAAACAATAATCAGAAGCCAGCTTGCATTAGTCTCATCAGTACTCGATACATTAGATAAACGAGGTAAAGTAAAATGGTGTTTAATGGTAACAAACTCAATGGTGCCAATGCTGTGCTGTAAACACCGAGATCCTACACATTGGCCCTTTAATAACGATGTTGATAATGATTGTAATAAAAAGCCTCGTCCAACAAGCTGCAGGGCGTTGTGTTGCATTGCTGCTACCGGAAAACCTTCAGCAATTAACGTGATGTATGGCAGGCAGCACCAACCGGAGGCTATATTCACCCAGATCTCTTTGAGCTCGTTATGTGGAGTTCATCAGAGCCAAAGGGTGGCGACAGATTTATGATTTGCACCGAGATGATTTTTCCTTGTAATGATGAGGCTAAAGTAAGTTGGCTTCTGTGCTGAGAGAGACTCCCAGAGATAGAATGCTACTACCACAAGAGAGCAAGAAACAGGCAGAGAAAAGGTGTTTGGCAGTGCAGGTTTGTATGCAAGTAATATACAGTAAACCGATGAACATCCAACCTGGGTCATGACAGAGTGCACCACTGTTTAATTTTTAATCCATTTAATGATTCAGGAATAAAACCACAATTTGGATCACTATAAGAAGCTTGCCATACTCTTTAAATACCTTAAATGTTGAAGTTTTCTGTCAATTTTACAATGTAACGATTAATATAACGTGATCTGACACTCCTTTGACCCAGGTAAGATCAGTTAAAAAAAGTTTTACAGTACAATACACTTGTAAATGTATGCACTGTGAAAAAAACACATCCTTGGTTCAGTTTCGAAGCTCAAGTAATGAAACGACAAAGGGCTTTAGAAGTTAAAAGCTGTGTTTGAAATGTTTACTCTGTCTAAATAGTGTTAAATATATAGAGGTCAACGATACAGATTGGGGTGGCCACACATTTTTGCATTTCAAACACTACTTTAGAGCAGTAACTTCACAATTATACACTGGGAATTTACCTCTGCATGCCACAAACTTTAGCAACACACATCTGGATATGTCTAATTCTTAAATCATAAAACAGACTATGCAGATGTTACCGACTGACTTATTACAAACGCTGACCTCATTTTATGGCATAAATCTGCTACAAGTTCTAGCTGTAGGGCCTACTCCTTTAAAAAGCAACAGTGATTACTGTACTTTTTCCTTCAACCTTTATTTAGACAGATAAGTCACACTTAGCCTAGAAGACTCGTTTACAAGTGAGATCTGTTTAGACAGACAAAAAGTAGTAATTCCTACATGTGTCCAGTTTCACTACTTTTTGTCTGTCTGAACAGATCTCACTTGTAAACGAGTCTTCTAGGCTCAATGTGACTTATCTGTTTAAATAAAGGTTGAATGAATGAATGAACTATACTTGTATACAGTATAGTTATAGCAGCGGTGCTATTGCTCTCGTAACAAATTGTCCAACATGTTTACACTTGAAACAAATTTGCTGAAGCTGTCGGTAAGAAGATGGCCACACTAGTTGAGAAATTAAGGGAATTAATCTGTTTAAGCTTTTTAATGGGCTCAGAGGTCACAATGAGCTGTATATATTAGCATTAGCATGCCATATTGGCTTAGTGCAGTGCATAATGGTTTATTGATAATAATGTAGTGTACTATTTCTGTACACATGGTCTATTGCTGACTACATCACCTGGCATTGTATTACATTATGGGAGGCACATTTGAGTTGGTTGGAGTAAACAAATTCTATAGATGCTAAAGGAAAATACATATTTTCCCAAATTAAATAGACGTAATAAATATGGTAAGAAGAGCAATAGTAGTATTTATTGTGACAAGTTATCAAAGGAGGCCATGATGTGTTTAACCTGAAAAGGTGAGGCTTTTAATCTGAGTCAGATGAGCTTTCGACCTTAAGTGGTACAGGACTAATAAGTTGCTATAACAATAGTAGCAGATTTACCAATAAAATGTAGGCGTCCTTGCTTTTTAACAAGCAGACAAAACTTCTTTTTAGCCACCATTACATATTTGAAATGACAAAGTCGAGCATTTGTTAACAAAAGCTCGCAAATAAGCCCTGCATCAGTAGCACAGTAAAAATGTAGATATTTAAATGCGTCTTGGTGATGTTTAACAGTAAATTTGTATTTTTATCAATGGAGACGAGCTCAATGAACAGTTTGGGTCTTGCTTTAGAGATACAAATAGCACTTTATTTTACAATTTAGAAAAAAATAAAACACATTTTTGTATTCATGATGAATTCTACTGTTTTTACTGGTATAAATATATAATAAGTTAGCATATTTACAATTCATTGATAGTTCTCTTGTATTTACAGTGCAATGAAGCTGTATATTTCTTATGTAACAATTATTGCTTTAATAAATTAATTTCCAGTGATTCTATGCTGTAATAAAATGTACCAAACTAACCACAGAGTTATTAAACCTACCAGTGACTTCAAACATTGGTAATTATTGTAGAATAAAGTGCTACCTAATCTGAATTAAGGCTAGATCTTCAAACTGTTTGTGGCAACTCAATAAAGTTGAATTTCTTCAGTGATTTATTTTTCTCGTTTAATCTTTCCATTGTTCATGTATTTCGGAGTCGCAGATGACTGTAATCCGTCTTCTTGACCAGAAACAAACAATGCGGCTGAGCTTCTTGTGGTTCTAAGTCGAACCTATGGATTGGTTCTTCACAGTGCATTCATCATAAGAGCACCAAAGACAGTGTACAGTATATATACAGCCCCCAAAGTGTAAGGCGTAACACAATAACAGTGTAGTGCAGCTCCATTTTACTCCAGTCCATCCCTTTTAGTTAATTGCCATTAAGAACCACTCCATCCATATTCACTCCATTCAGTTCAATTTGTCGTGTTTCATTTGATTCCATTTGGCGTCACTCAGCTCCAATTCTGTTTCATGTAGTTAATTAAAAACATTTTTAATCCCATTATGCCCGTGTATGTACCAGTCTGAGACCAGCTCCGGTTATTTCTGAAACATCAGGATGTTTTTTGAAAGTATCCAGTCTTAAGTGTTGAAATTTTCCTGTTAGTTTTTTCCTGCTGTAAACTGTCAAAGCACTGAAATGCCCCGTGCCGTTTTAATTATTGAAAGCCTTGTTCCTGTAGCTGCACCGTTGTACTGTTGAAGCTGTACATTTGCAGCTGATGTAATCTGTAAACACAGTTGTGTACTTTTACTGGCAGTGTGAGGCCACATGTTTAGCTGGATGCTGTACCTTAGTTAACATGATAGTACACACAATAATTAATCATCCCCTTAACTTCAGTGGCACAAATTTAAGGTGATTAGCATTGATCATTTCTTGCTTATTCTAAATAGTGCAGGGTTTCCTCAGAAATGACTATTACTTGTGGTGGCAGAACATTTATCTTGAAATGTTTTGACAAACTGGTAGGCATTCTGTTCAATAGCTTTACAGAATAAATATTCTTCCATTTTCAGAATCTGGATGATTTACGATCGGACCAGCTGTATCCTGACTGGGATACAAACGCTTGCAGAGGGAAGGATTAGTCTTAAAGGTTTCAGGCAGGACTGATAAGAATATCCATTGCTCCTGCTTAAATGTCACTACTGGTCATGAGTGAAAAGATTTTCCTAGCGGTCCTAGAAAATAAAGGTGAAGATGTAGCGCAATTCATTGACGAGTGTTGTTTTTTGGTATCTCCCTTTTTTTAAATGAGTGCACAAATGAAGTTAAAGTGAACTAGGTAAGGCAAATCTCTCCTAGCAAAGACTAAAACCACAGCCAGAGGCAGAAGGCCGGCCAGTGAAACCTTATCAGGACAGCCAGTTTAGCAGTTGGAGCCAGCAGGTGTGTAGTTACTCAGCTCCCTGCGGATAGTGCTGAACGGCGACAGCTCCAGTTCAGTGGTACACTCATGTTCGTTGTCGTCACTGGCCGTGGCCGAGGACGGTGCATGATTACAGCAGCAGCAGCAGCAGCAGTCCAGGAAGGCCCTGCCCAGAGGTCGGCACAGCAGAAGCAGCAGCGCCGGAGTCACGGCGGCGCGACAGAACAGCAGCAGCTGGGAGAGAAGATGGAGGATGGACATGGTTTGCTCAGGAACGCCTGCAGCCATGTACGCAGAAACTATGTTGCAGATGTTCTCCGGCACCACACATGCCCCATAGACGATTGCCAGTGCCACAACGGTGCAGTTCATCTGGCTCTCTAGTCTAATCTGCTTCTTATTGCTGCGTACGCTGGCCTGCTCTGCATGCCGAATCTTGCGGGCCGTCACCAACGAGCATCCAATGGTGAAGAGTGTCGGAAGGCAAAAGTAGCAGCCGAAGCACCACCACAGCCGAGCTCCCTCGTAGGTCAGGCCCAACACATACAGCATGTCAGGAAGGGAAGTGGAAATCCTGATAATACACCGTTCAACCGGAGGTTCGTCAGGGAGTCCCGTGTCTTCTGTCACCAGCTGTCGAATGAGGAGCTCTGGGAGGGCTAAGAGAAGGGCACCGATCCAGATGACTGCTAGTTTTGCAGTTGTAGATGTGCAGTTCTCTATCATCTCGTAGTACATCTGGACGTTGGTGGCTGCACGGAAGCGGTCGATGCACAGAGCGCAGAGGGTGAAGGTTGTCACACCCAGGGAGGCAACCTGAAGAGAGAGAATAAAACAAGTTTGTACATTAGAGGTTATTTTAGTCTCGGAAAGAAAAACAAAAGTTGAGCTGTTGTTCTTGGTGGCTCACAGAAGCTTTGCTTCATTGAATCCCATTTTCTTGAGTGCATTTCATTAGAGTGTTTAGAGCTTTAGCTAACAAATTTAATATAATTTCAACAGGCAGGTGGGCTGATCTGCATGCAGTTCTATTTCTACTGTGACTCTTTTCTGTATTAAAGGTTGTGAAAAACAATAAATGACAAAGTGATACATAATTAAGTATAAAGTAGGGATTCACAATATTGGCTTTTTGGCTGATATCCTATATGGCGATATGCTAAAACTTATTTGGCCGATAACCGGTACCAATACAGACTTTTTTTTTCTGGCCCTACTTACAAAGACTACAAAGCTTTCTCTGCTGTGGAATTAAAATACTACATTATTCTGCATGGTCTTTGCCACTTTGGCCTGCTACCTAATGCAGATGCCAAAAAAAGGGTTAAATTATATAACACTTTAACTTGGATTATGTTTAATATCAAATTAATTCATGACATTTACTCTCTCTAACACAATGACAACACTCGAACAGTGCAAATTTGTAAATTTTCACAAATCTAAATTCAACGGCGTGTGTTATGTCATAACGTTGTGCTGGTGCTGCAGGCATCCTTGTCACTGGGTTATACAAAAACAGCGCCTTTTA